CCGAAACCCGAAGCCCTTGTCCGCAATAGAATCTTCACATAAGAATGTCCAGAGAAAACCAGCATACGATTTTTGAGGCTTAGTATGATGTAGATATGTCGGGATCACAAAGGTATGGTATGGACACGCATTCATGCGCTCTTCAGACCTCGATCCTAAACCCCTAAACCCTAAACCTCTTAACCCTAAACCCCTAAACCTCTAAACCCCTGAACCCCTACCCCTAAACCCCTAAACCCCTAAACCCCTAACCCCTAAACCCCTAAACCCCTAAACCTCTTAACCCTAAACCTCTTAACCCTAAACCTCTAAACCCCTAAACCCTAAACCCTAAACGCCTAGTTTTCCGAGACCTGAGCTGAATTCCCGCCGCTGTCACAGCCCTACATCCGAAGGCCATTCTTCCCTGATGCCTCTGGGTAGTTCTCTAAATTAGGGTCCCTTTTAGGGTCCTTTTATAAGAGTGCGGTACTTTTTTGGGGACCTGAAAAGGGACCCTAATTTAGAGAACTGCCCCCATTCTTCCCTGAAGCCTCTCTTTCTCAGGTTGAAACCATGGCCCCTAGTATGGGCCCTTAAGGGTGGGATCCTTATATACCTACTCTATACCCTATATGTACCCTTAGCAATCCCTAGAAAGGCCTAAGGGTCCATGCTAGTAAGGAATAGACCTTAAACTATAATAGGATCCCTTAAAGGGATCTATAAGGGTTCCCTAAGGGCCCATACTTGTAACCTTAGACTCTTGACTCGGAGCTGACAGTCTTTAGCTCAAGGCCCGTAGATCCGGATCCGAATCCCGGAAGTCGCAAACACGATCTAGCTACCCATAACCCAGAGGGTCCGAGTACCCAAAGAAGAGGGTTTTGGGTCCCCAAATCCATACTCTGAGTGGTTTTTGGACCCTGAAACCCTACTGTTTGGGCACTTGGACCCTCAGGGTAACGGCAAGAAGCCTTGTAGTAAGTTGTCCTTATGAAGCTCCACACACCAGGCAACTCAAAGTTGAAACTCAGACACCGTAGTCCGCCATCGGCAGCTCTGTGAGTGTGGCGCCGCCCTGGTACCAAATGGGGGTTTCAGAAAATAGGGGACCCTAATATAGTACCCTAAATAGTAGGATCCTTATTATAAGGACCCCAAAATAAGGTACCCCTTGTTTTCAGAAACTCCCAAATAGGGCTTACGAGGATGGAGTAGCAGAACCAGTAGCAGTAGCAGGAACAGCAGCAGCAGCGGCAGAAGCAGTGGCAGCAGCAGTAGTGATGGTAGTGGTAATGGTAATGGTACTGGGAGTCGTCTCTGGAAGCAGCAACAACAACTGAAGGTGAGGTTGTCGTCGTTTTGGTCACCCGAACACTTGGAGGCCCAAGGGACATAGTAAGTAGGTTATAAGTAGAGTTATAACTGCCCTAAATGGAGTTACCCCAATTATAACCCTACTTATAACCGACTTACTAAGTCCCCTGGGCCTCCAAGCACCATTGCAATGCACCACCTGA